TTAATTTTTAATCGTTTTTCGTTTAAATAATTAATAATAAAAATATATAATAACTTTATTTTAAAAAATTAACGGATTTTCGTTTTAATGAAATTAATATTTAATTTATTTTTACGAAAATTTTATTATTAAAATTATCGTTAAAAAATGTGTAAATTAATATTAAAATTATATTTATTTCGAAGAAAATGTAAATTTTTTTTTTATAAATTGTTTTTTTTTAATTATAATTAAAAAATTCGATTTTTAAAAATTCGAAAATTAATTTAAATTTATAATATATTAATTTTAATAAAAAATAATAATTATTAATTTTCTTTTATTATTCGAGTTAATTATTAATATTAATTTATAAATATAAAGTTCCCGCGTAATGTAAATGTAATATTACTTAATTAAAACCTTCGAAATTTTTAAATTATTATTTCGTAATTTCGAGCTTTTAATATTATATTTTTTCTTTTAACTTTTTTTTATTTTTTTTTTTTTTTTAAAGTTTTTTTTTTAATATATATAACGAATTTTTTTAATTTATTTACCCTTTTTTTTTTTTTATTATAATTTAATTAAATTAAGTTTTAAATTATTATAAAATATATAAAAATATATTAATTATAATTATAATTATTAATAAAATTTTTCGGTTAATTTTAATTATCGTTTATAAAAAATTAAATTTTTTAATTAAACTTATTTTTTTTATATTATAATTAGTTATAATTTTTTTTTTTATTATATATATTTTTTATATTTATTTTATATGTTAATATAATATAATTATTTTTATTAATTTATTTAAACCGGATTTAATTAAAAATGTATATTTTTACATTAAATATAAACCGTTATATAATTAAATTAATAATAAATGATTTTATTCGTTATATAATAACGCGCGATAAATAATTATATAATAATATTAATATAATTATAAAATAAAACGAACGTAATATAAAACGATTTATTTTTTTTATAATAAAATTTAAATCGATAATTTTAAAATAAAAATCGAATTTTCTTTACTTTTTAATATTTATAAAATATTTTTATATATAATATTAATCGTTTATATAAATTTATTTTATATTATAAGTAATTTATTTATTTATTTAAATATTACTTAAATAATATAATTAATCGTAAAAATAATATTATTTATTATAAGTTTTTTAAACGTATATAAAAAAAATTATTAATATATATTACCGGGGGTTTATAAAAATAACTTTAATTTATTATATAATATTTTTTATTTATAATTATTAAAATAAAATCGTTTAATTTATTTTTTTTATTATTATTTTTATTATTTTTTTATTAAAAATAAATGTAAAAACGAAAAAAAATATAATAAACTTATTAATTTATTAATTTTATAATTTATTTTTTTTTTATTGAATTTATTATATATTATTTAATTTATTACGTATTATAATTTCGGCATATTTTTTATAACGAGGCACGAACCGGTTAATTTTTTTTAATATATATAATTTTAAATTAATTTTATTAATAATAAATAAAACGAATATAAATTAAATAAATAAAATAATAACGTTTTAATTTATATAAATAATATTTATACGTAAATATTAAATAAATAATACGTTATTAAAAAAAAATATATTAAAAATATTATAATAAATAAATTAATATATAATAAAAAAAAAATAAAATAATTTTAAAAATTACTTTATACGTTTATAAATATTATATCCACGAATATAAAATAAAAGTAATATTTATAATAATTAAATATTTTAAAATATATAAGTTAAATTTAAACTTATTTAATTAAAATTATTTTTATAAATGTTATTTAAAAAAAAACGATATTTTAATTTTTTTTTAAAATAATATTTAACTTTATAAATTTAACTTAATATTAATATTATAAATTAATTTTAAATTAATTAATAAAAAACTTTTAAATATAATTATTACATTAAATTTATTAAAAAGTTTTAATTAATAAAAAAATATTATATTATTATTTTATTAATAAATATTACCGGGTATAAATAAATAATTATTAATAATTTACTTAAAGAAAATAAAAATTTTTAAAATAAATTAAAACTTTATATTAAAAGTAATATTTTTAAAACTTTCGTAATTATATATAAAAAACGAATTAATATATTTTTACACGTATAATTTACGGTAAATCCCCGTAATTTTTACATTTTTTACATTTCGGTTTTTATTATATTTTTATTTATAAAACGGGTAAAAAATTTAAATAATTTATTTTTTAAAAACGATAAGAAAAGTTAATTTATACGGCGTTAACCGGTATATTCGTATGTAAATTTTAACTTTATTTTATCGTTAATAAAAAATTAAATATTACGAAAAGAAATTTTAAATTAAATTAATTTATTATTATTAATTTTTAAAATAATACGATAATAAAATTTAAAAAGTTTTATTTTAAAACGTTTTAAAATTATAAATTTTATTAAATTATTTTTATTATTAATTTATTATTAACGTTTTTTAAAAAAATTTTATATTAACCGGATATTTCGTAATTTATACGATACGTTAATAAATTAACTTTATTAACGAATTATTTATTATAAATTATAAATTTTTAAACTTTTATATTTTTAATTTACGATAAAAATAACTTGGTTTTTTTTTAAAATTAAAAATAAATAATATAAATAAAAAAAGTTTAAAAAAATTTATACGAAAAAAACCGGTTACGTTTAATAAAAAAAACTTATTTATTTTTATAAATATAACACGAATCGTTAATATAAAAATATTATTCGTTTTTTATAAAACGCGAAACATTTTTAATAAAATTACTCGTTAATTTTAATTTTTTTAAAACGTTGTTTTATTAAAATCGTAATAAAATTTAATTATTTAAAATAAAACTTTTTTAAATAATTAAAATTTAATTATTAATATAAACTCCGTTATTATAATTATTATTTTAAAATATAATAATAATTATAATTACGTATTTACCGGAAATTTTTTTATATTTTTTTATAAAAATTATTCGTTAAAATTTAAAATAAATATTAAAAAACGAAAAATTAATTAATTTTTTATTAATATTATCGATTTTAAAAACGAAAAAAGCGGTTTAATAACGCATTAAAAAAATAAAATTATTTAATTAATAAACGTAAAAAAAAATCGAAATAATAAATTACGTAAAAACCGTAATACTTTAAATTTTTAAATTAATAAAAAATTATTAACTTTTAAATATAATATTTATAAATAATTAAAATTATTAAAACTTAAATATTATAAAAAACTTATTAATAAACGATAAAACATTATATAAATAAATAAATTTAATATATCGTTTTAATTATTTTAAAAAATAATAAACATTATATAAATAAATATTTCATTTTTAAAGATTTTTTATAATATTAATATTATATTAATTAATATTTTAAATATTAAAATTATATAAATATATTAATTTTTATAAGTTTATTTATTTATAATTTTATATAATATATTTAAAGTATTTTTTTTAATAATACATTATTAATAATATTATTAAACTTTAATAAAATTTAATATAAATTATATTATTTAATTACGTTTTTTATAAAATATTAATATTTTTAATTATAAATAATATAAAACGGAAAAATTAAAACTTATTTAAATATAATAATATATTAAATTATAATTTTTTTTATATAAATTTAACTTTAAAAATTAATTAAATGTAATTAATTAAAAATAACGTTTTTTAATTTAATATAAAATTATATATATTATTTCGTATATTTTAAATTTAAAGAAAATTTAATTAATTACGATAATTATTTTTTAAATTTTATATATTTTAATTTAAACACGTTTTTTTTATATTATAATAATAATAATAATAATAATATTATAAACGATAATATTAACTTTATTTAATAAATTTTTATTAACGTTAAAAATATATCGTAATTTAATTTCTTAATTATTATTTCGAATTATAAAAATAAAAAAAAACTATGTTTTTTATCGAAAACGTATTTAAATTATATTTAATAACGTTTAAAAAGTTTTTAATAATATATAAAAATATATAAATATTTTAAATTAAAATAAATCGAAATTATATTATTATTTACGTAAAACGAATAATAAAAAAATTAAAAATATATAAATAATCGTTTATTATTTAAATAAACACGAAATGAAATAAAAAACTATAATTATTAAAAAATTAAATTAAAAATAAAAATATAATTATAAAAAATAAAAATAAAAATAAATAAAAATTACATTAATAAAAAAAAATATTAAAATTAAATTCGAAAAAACTTTATTAAATAAAGTTTTATTTTTTTAGAAAAAACATTAAACGATTAATATTTTATTCGTTAATCGTAAAGTTATTTTTTTTATTATTAAAAAATTATTATTAAAGTTTTTTATTTTTATATTCGATATATTTTTTATTTATTTATTTATTTTCGAAAAATTACTTAATTAATCGTTAAATTAATAATAACTTAAAGTTTAAATTAATAATATATTAAGTTATTTTTTTTTTACATTTAAATATAAAAATTTTTACTTATTTTAATATAATTAAAAATTTAAATAATATAATAAAATAATTAAATTAATTTATTTTTATTATTATAACTTTTAATATTATAATAAATAACGATTATATATTTATTTATTTATTAAATACTTAAATATAATAAAGTTTAATTTAATTAATAATTATTATAATATTATTAAATAAATACTTATTTTTTTAATATTTTTATAAAAATAAAAAAATTTATTATATTTATTTAATAAATATTTATTTATACGTATTATAATTTATAAGCTTTTTAATTTTTAAATTATAAAACACAGTATATTTTCGTTATACATTATATTTATATAATATACTTTTTAATACATTAATTAAATTGGCGGGTTAGCGGATTTGTCCTTATGGTCCGCCGTCTGTGCTTTCTTAGGCTCCAGATATTGTGGGGTATCCTTGCATCGGGAGGACATGGGTGTGGAGCTTGGGTGTTCCTACCTTCCATGTCTTGAGCTTCTGGTTATTTATTGCTAAACACCTTCAATGTTGTTATCAACTAGGAACTATTGGACTTCTAAGAAAAGGATCACCTTGTCAATAAATCTTGCACAGGTCGATCATATATACCTACCTAAGCTACATTACAAAGTCTTCTCTACTATGGCAAACACATTCAACATCCAACCTATTGTCCGTTTCGATGGTGAATGTGAAGCTGTAAAGCGACCCAAGGTATATTCATACTTCCATTCATACATTTTGTTTCGCAAGGGGCACATTTGAATATAAAAATATATCTAATCCATATATATGTTTAGGAAATAGCTTGTTTTTCCTATGATGACAAGCGTGAATTTCATCTAGACGATCGCTCGTTACAATGGTACTATCCTCCTGCACTTGGTGCCGACTTGTCTGCAGGATTCGATCAATTCGACAAACATGATGGTTCCAAGGACGAGCACATAGATAGCCTTCTTAAAACAATCATGGCTCATGAGGAAGAGGAAGGGAAGAAGATCGACGCGGAGTTGGTTACTTGGCGTGGCATGATGACCAAGGTATGGACAAACAGCGTCAATTATGCATAGTTTGTCGCAAATCCGATTAACATTCACAGATCATGTCAGCGCCATTTGAAGACCGAGATGGGTATGTGGGTCCCTTGGTAGCATCGGTTGAAGGTGGGAATCTAATGTGATATTGATCTAGCTTCGAGATGTATGCTACCTTTTACCAGGTGCGCGATCCAAATGTTATTTCATGGAATGATCTTAGCTGATTACTTTCTCAAGGGCTGCATGTACGGTAAAACCATCCTTGCCTCTTACATATATACTAATATTCTACCCATATAGCTTCATTGAGGAGAACCATGAATATGGGCTGGCCTTGATGCAACAACAACACCATCAACAACGCCAACGAAAGCCACGACGAGGCCAGATGTCTCCGGATGTGATGACGTATTGGGGTAAATCCATACCTAATCCTTACCTAATATGATATTATAGCTGACCCTGCTACAGGATACAAGTTTGAGACGCTTTCTTGTCTGCCACGTCCTTGGGGAGAGGTCGATAGAGACTTCATTGAGAACAGGGACAAAGAAGTTGTCAGCAATAAGGCTCAATACTGTTCTGTCGTTCGTACTGGGATTGGTAAATCAATCTTGTGTTTGGGAGGTGAGGTCGACTGTAGTAAGTTGATACCGTGCATTAGTTCTGATTACTTCGTACTCACGTCGGCATCTAGTCTGGGATTCTAAGCCGACAGAAAAGGGAGCGCCAATAAACTGGATTGAGCTTAAGACCAGTGTCGAAATTAATGATGACAGGACCATGCAGAATTTCGAGCGCAAGCTTATGAAGTTCTGGATTCAATCATTTTTACTTGGTGTCCCCAAGATCATCGTTGGCTTCCGCTCACAACAGGGTATTCTCACGAAACTCGAAGAAATCCCAACGGCTAAGATCCCCGAGACGGCTGCTAAACGAGGCGTGAGGAGCTGGAATGCGAACATATGCATTAATTTTGCGAGCGCTTTTCTAGAATGTGAGAAATTAGTGCCCTACTCCTATCCGTACACCCGCTAATATAATTACAGGGCTAAAAAATACCATCAATGATGAAGGTGTCTGGAAAATAAGGAGAGACGCCCGTTCAGGCGTAATTGAAGTATTCAAAGTTGAAGAAGTTGGGCATGGAAGAATTCTCACCGACGAATTCATCAACTGGCGCATAAAGTTGAGTCTGAATAGCGCTAGTAAGTAGTATCTGAGATGATCTTTACAAGTTCTCTTCGCTACCCGGAACGCCGATTCCATTCTATATATCTAGATACCCAATTATGAATCATACACAAATCTAGGTCGCTTTCTATATGACATGTTCTGAATCTCACTCTGGCTTATTCATTTAATACATACATCTTTCGTCTTAGAGGATCGAAATCAGTACCATAAGTGGGATTGCCTGAAGCTCGGTTTCCGTTAACCTCGGACTTCAAACTTGTGAAGTCTACCTCAAATGCCATACGGTTAAGGAAGTTGCAGATCTACTCAAATGTTAGTAACCACTGTTGACGCGGGTCAAAGAAAAATAATATCTCACAGGTTTCCCATGCCATCGCCCTCCACCGATCTCAAACCAGCCTAGATGGCCACCAAGTGACGTAGTACAGAGGACCGTGTACGGGTTGGTTGAGGCCTCGGCATATGGGATACTTAAGTTCGAGGCGATAGGGTCATCTACAGCGTTGATAGCAAGGAGCGGAATGCGCACAGCCAATAACGAATCGGAGCTAGATGCATCTCTGTAATAAGCATCCTCTGTCGGATATCCCCATGTGGGACATTGATAGGCCCTGTCAAACTCGTATAAAAACGTATGACTGAACAGAGTTGTCGTATCTATGTTGGTGTACTTCTCAAGCTCATCCTTGTGCTTCATTGCCAGGGCTCTCATAGAATCTTACAATGCGCGTTAGTCATATTCGCAGGATTCAGATTATATTAACTTCGCGAAACTTACTGCCTAGAACTCGTTGGTAGACGTGATGTCCTATTAATGTGCTCTGTAACACCTTCGAGGATATATGAAGAGCCCAAGGGTTTGCAACCACAACTGCTGCTTTGAGCGGAGTGGCAGAACCCTCCTCGCCGAGGTACTAGAACAGGAATGCATAAATACAACTTCCGGATATTTTCTTAGCTAGGGATTACTTACATTTGTCATGATGCAAGCACCTAGAGAGAAGCCTAGTCCAAATAATGGCCGGTTCGGATACGTCTTCTTAAGCCACTTGACAGTCTATATAAATTTAAGTGAGCCGAGTCATATTAACTAGATACTATCAAGGTAACGGCTTACTTGTCTAACGTCCCAAGTGGCACGCGCGTTATACAAAAGTCCCGTAGTGATCTTAGTATTTGCGCAACCCCTCGAGATAACAACGCAAGCTTCCCATTTACCACTGTCGATTAACGGCGCAATCGCGTGCCGGAGATAAACCTCGTGCGAGCCTCCCGACAATCCATGCAGGATTACGAGCATAGGCCTGTCATCATCAGAGCCCATAGCCTCGAGCTCGGTCTCGGAGAAATAGGCTGTTCGCGGGGGTAGAGATGCATCGGCGTCCTCTTTCTGGGTGGGATCAGTGACAGCAAAGTCTACGGCATATTGGCCATCGAACTCGGTGTGATCAGCCTTAAAAATGCGCCGCTTATACCTCAGCTGCGGACCGTGACCCTTCGCGGCCGTCCACATCGTCTGCGCATGTCCGTTGAACAGCAGTGGATTCAGCTGGCACGGCGGAACAGCCGATTGACATATCTTGAGTAAGTTTGTTTCTTCGCCATTTTTATCCTGTAGGCTTAGAGATTTTGGGTGAGTTGTGAAGTCGATGGTGGCTCGTCCTAACCACTCCATTAGAACGACTGGCGGTCTACCTAGTAATTTTACTTTTGTTAAAGATTAGCTGTTTAAGGATGGCTATAAATAGAAAACAAAGCACAATTACGCTTGAATTGATTATAAGAAAATCTATAAAATCGTTAATTGAAAGCGCTGAAATCTATAAAAATTTTATAAAAAAATACCGAAAGGAAGCAACAACGACTTTATTATTATGAAGACAGAGCCTAGGCTCATATTTTTAGGGGACCTTGCCGCTTCTAATTACTCCCCACTTGCCTCGGCTCGTGCCGAGTTATAGGCCATACATGCAATTAAACATATATGTATGTGGCAAGTCAAATACTTACCTAGAAGGTTTCATCAAGATTCTAGAAATAGTACAGTTTTTCTTGAGCCGCAAGCGCATCCCATTCGGAAAATTTATCAACTACATACATATGTACCAGACTTACTAGGCTCTAGCAAGAATTAGAGATTTATGGATATGTTTAACACCAACGACGAACTACAAGTCACCATACCCTTGTGCCATATTTCAGGGAATCTTTATGTCGATCCTGAACCTATAAATAGTATTAACTTATTTTCTGATGAGATAATGAAGTCTCGTACAAATTCAATGTTATAATTGCTAATATATACCTATTTACCTAGTCTAAAGAATGTCTAACCTTACTTTGCTATCAACAGATGAAATCAAGCATATTCTACAAAATAAGCAAAACTTAAAATGTGTTGGTCCCATTGAGCTGGGATGTTCTAATGGGTACACCGTCCCTTCCGATGATGTGAGATTCGAGGAATCCACGTGGGCCAAGCCTAACAAGGTCAGTGCGGACCGCACTCAGACGAATCACGTGATAAATATTCTACAACCTACAACGTCGCGGCACGCGTGATCGGTTTAACTTTACAATACTCAAGACATCAACGTTAAGAACCGGTACCGGATTCGACGCTGGTGAATCGATTGTCGACTATTAACGAATTGATAGAGATGGTTTTCACGACACCAGGGCACCTAGTGCGATGAAATTATGACATATCGCGGGTCTATGCCCCATGGCCACGGGTCAGGGTTTAATGGCCAACAAAACCAATATCCTCAGCCTGTTAACAACGTTAATAATGGCTATGACGCCTGGGGAAACCCTCAATATCAACTTTATCAGACTAATGTCTTCATGCCTATACAATACTCTCATCCTCAGTCTCAACATCAGCCTCAGCCTCAGCATCAACCTCAGCGTCCACCTCAACCTCAATCTCATCACCAACATCAACATGATACCCACCAACAAATCCATTCGCCGCAAAATGCGAACCATCAATTCCAATCCTACGATCCCTCCTTCGATCAACGGCCCTTGCAACCTTTGCAACCTTTGCCTCAAAACGGTGTAAACGCGCCAGGTCAAATGGTGCACGGCATGCAACAAACCGTCCAACAAACTCCCCATCAACATCAATACGTTCAACAAGCCGACTGGCAGCCCATGCCACCCCCAATGCCTATGCCTTCGCCCTCTTATCAACAACCTCCGTCGCAAATTCCTACACCCGTAACGCCACAAGCGATATCCCAACCTCCACCTCAATACCAATACCAACATCACCAATATCAGCAACAGCAACAGCAACCTCAACATCATCCTCAGCAACAACACCAACGTTCTATGCATCAGAATATTGTCAGTTCGCCGGTTCCCGTCCAGTCTCCCCAATTGCCACCTCAGTTCACACCGACCCTCAATAATAGGCATGCGAATCCAAGCGCACGAATGGATCATACCAACCGTATATCCGCAAGCCCTCGACTGGGTACACATAGCGTGGCGAGAAGCCCGAGCGTATCGTCAGCTAGATCGCCTGCTCCGACACCAGGGCTTGTGCCACATCATGCAGACACTAATTCGCTTCTGATCTGTCTCGCCGAGGAGTTCTTTACTAAAGCGCGGAAGGAGTCGATACCTATGGTGGATAATGTCGATGCTCAATGCCTGCACGAATACCAGAAGCTCGTTGCCACGGGACTAGGCTGCCTCGAAGTAGTTTTGGATAGTCCGAAGTTGGCGCCGCGACTAGAAGCCCAAGTACGATTTCGCTATGCTAGCATATTGTGCGAGGAAACCAATAATGTGATGGAAGCCGAGACCGCTCTCACCAAGGGTATTACCCTTTGCGAAAGAGTAATACCTCATTGTATAACCCCTTACATTTTCAGCTGTATGCTAACTGCCAATTTAGAATCGATTCGCCGATTTGAAATATGCCATGCATTTCCTTCAGGTGAAGCTTCTCTTTGCGCAACAGAAAGTAAAGGCAGCCATGATCGCCGTTGACGGTCGGATACGGGACGCCGAAGTGTAGGTGGTCAACTAGACTTTACTATACGTGTACCTTCTAACACCGTGACAGAATGAAGCATTACCATTGGGTTTACGCGTTTCGCTTCTTGAAGACCTCTATCTATCTTCAGTCCGCGAACCCGGCTGAAACGCACGCACTCGAAAATTTGAAAGCGATCGCTACCCTAGCTAACCATAACAACGACCGTGCCATATTCGTAGCTGCCTCTTTACTGGAGGGTCTAAGTCTCCTCAAGACTATGAAAGACGATGCTATTGTTCGTATACAGGCTTGTATCGCTTCAGCTATGAAGTATCAGCTCGAGGATTCGTTTCACATTCCGCAACTCCATATCCTGGCACTCATGCTTGATCTCGCCTGCAGTTTACACCAGAAATCGGTCCAGGTAATCAGTCAGAAGTCGAAATGTCTCCAGGACCACATAGATGCCTCCATGAACGATAAATCGTGGTCCCCTATAGATGCGGAACTACTACTTCCTATTCGGAAAGGCAACCCGCTGGTAATCAGCCGGGATACGTCGGCTGTACTGAGGCCTGGGCAAGATAATAGCCCTTACGACTACCTAGCCATGTCTTTCTGGACTAAACTGGAAGCATTCACCGTAACGTAAGTTGATTCATCTGCGACTGCTTTTCTCTGCTGACAGTATCTATAGGTACACATATAGCGGCCTCGCGCTTTTGTATCAAACTCCTCGTAATGATAGGAGAATATTTAAGCTATGGGAAGAAGCACTAACCCAGCTATTAAAAGGCATGTCACTCTGATATAGTATTACACTACGGTTTCTAACCATTCACAGCAGGCATTCGACTTCAAGGACTTCCTAATTCTCTGACGGATGCTATCACGAGATTGGATTGGCAAAAAGAATGGATGTGCTATCTCTACATTCTCCAAGGCTTACACCTTGCAACACACACTCGATGGAGTGAAGTAAAGCAGTGTGTGACACATCTGGAGAGTATGGTCAAACCTCCGCTTGAAGGTATTGTCGTGTTGTATTCGACATATCTCGCGGGGGTATACCATCAAGGAACCGGCGATCTGAAGACGGCTAGTATGATCTACGGCAATGAGATTTTTAGCCTCGATGACGACAACGTCAGAAATGGAAGTCGGAAAACGGCCGAGATGGAGGTCTCGTTACTGGCTACTTTCAATCGGATCTGGATCATGCAACATCCGGACTATAGGGACGATCGATTAACGCTAGACCTCCTAGAGCAGCTTCGCCCGCTCTGCGCCGATCACCCGAACCTAGAGATTCGCACAGCATACAACCTAGTGTTAGCAGCGGTGCAGACGAACCCGCCGATCCCGATGACGGCGGTCAAGATGCACATATCAACAGCATTAAGCAACGCGCAGTCCTTAGGCAATGTACAGACATTATCTATCGCGCTCAACGTCATGCGCGCCAAGCTCTTCCAGGACATCGTGGGGGATCAGGCGCTGAAGAGCGCGAAGGCAGCCTCGAACCAGGCCAAGAGGAGTGGCAATACGCTCTGGATGAGCGTGGCTGACGGCATGCTCGCACAGAGCTTCGACGTTCAGGGCCAGAGTCTGGACGCGCAAAAAGCTTGGGAAGATGCGACGCAATATGCACAGCAAGCATTCGACGGGATGGGAAATGAGAGAGCCGTGTAATGATTTGGGGACGGGGGGGTAGCAACGGAGTGCGGTAAACCCGGATCTATCTAGGGCGTTATGTATAACACCATGGCATTGCATTGTAGGATTTGCGCACGGCTCGGCGGGTTGGTACTGAACATTGACATTGAAATTGGGGCGTTGATTTTGTTCCGGTCACAAGGGAGAGCAAATGATCATATGTTGGGGCCGGCTCGGACGGTTCGACAACAATATACCCCTGTTTATCATTCGAGAGGAGAGAGGTACAACTGTAATGTTTGACAAGAAGAAGAACAAGAAAAAGAAAAGAAAAGAAAATACGATTCCAACGCTACACGGCATTATGATCTTGTCTGTTTGTTTTGTTTTTTCCTTCATTCCTTCTATTCTGCAGGATCTGTCTACCTGATGTATGCGCGAAGTCGAGAAATTTTAAGAGATTAGGTAGAGTGTGACCGGGTTGAACGTTACTCAGCATGATGGGAAGAGCCTCCGTTCGAGACCTCCCCGCCCACCTCCCCTGTGCTGTGGTGGCCGTGGCCCTGTTGGTGTGGCCCTGTTCCGACGGATCTGTGCTCGAATCTCTCCGGCGTGGGAACCATAATTGAGCCGGCTCACCTGAAGAGACCTTATTTTTTTTGTTACTTAGATTTTTAGGGGGTTTGTCATTTTTTTTACACGGCCTCGCCTCGTCCCATAACCTCGTATTAACGAGATCACCGTCGCACAAACGCCTATTTCGAGGGCGTTTGCGCGCCCTGTCCACTTGTCATTTTTGCCCCACTGCTGCGCTGTTGTGGAAGTGCGGTGGCGGGACTTGGGTAGGCTTTTATGTAGAATCTTGCTGCTATGTCGGGGTTGTATTATTTGTATCTGTCTTGTGATTGTCGCCTTTCTTATAAAAGCAACTACAAGTACCTATATTTACCTGTTTTATTTTATTTTATTTATTTGTCTATTAGCCTATGTAGTAAGTGTAAATATTCATTCGGGTCAGAAGATCAACATAGATCCTCTGGCAGAGGCAAGGCCTTTGGCGAGGGGAGCTTCGGATCCCGAACCTTCCCTATTAGGCAGTCATCTTTGTCGTCGTTTAAGCTTGTGGAACTTATAGAATCCGACCTCTTATTCTTCGTCGACGTTGGGGAGACACGAGGGAAAGCCCAGCCCTACTGCCGAGGTCTTAGCTTGGTAGATGCATGTAACAGACAGGTAGGTGGCTAGTTTTAAGCGTAAGTATAAGCGTAACCTGTCTGCCTGTGAGAGGAAGTGTGGGCGTAGGTGTACCGTAGGTGTGAGATGGTTGATGGGAGCCCAACCGAACGCCCGGCGTCGTTGGCGTTACACGGGTGGGAGGTGGAGTGGGAGCGACTGAGACACGAAGATGGGTTTCGGAAGGGCTGCCGAAGACGAGAGAGTATAGGCAATGATGTGCTTGTATGTTTCACTCATTTTTATATAGGTACCTAGTATATATTTAGGTAGTTATTTATCTATTTATTATTCTTATTTAATCAACTTTTTTTTTCTGTTTTGCGGGCGGAACCGGCCACGGACGAGTCAAACGCTGGCGTCGTTCGCGATGACGCTTTCGTGCAATGGACTTATTTCCAGCCCCGTGGGTTGGGTTAAGCTGAGTCTAGCTGAGTCGAGGTAGGATGTACATAGGGTTATAAGAGCGTGCGCGTGAGTGAGTTTGAGTGGAGGACGATGACGACGCAGAGTATACCATATGTAGACATTGAAGGCTCCAAGTACTTGTTACATATATGGATGTATGTAAGTAATCCCTAATGTATGTATGCGGTCCTATTTTGCATCCCACGCGAGACCCTCCAAAAACTCCAAAAAACTCCAAAACCCACTCTTGCTCTCTACATAGTATACATATCTACTACTCAATCCGCTCCGCCGGCTCGAAGTCCCGATCGTGATCAGGTAATCAAGTTGTAATCAAGCAAAAAGCACGAATTTATATACCAGTCCCCTGGGTCCCCGCAGTGCAACATCGACCTCTCGGCGCTTTTATTGCATTCTATTGATTTTCGTTATGTTGTGGCTATTATGTTGTTATGTTGTTATGTTGCTACGGCGTATGTATGTTGCTATGTAGGTACCCAAGGTACCTAGTCTGCTAGTATATAGTGGTGGTTGTGTGTATTATACTCTTACTCTATGGGGCCTTACTAGTTCGTGACCGTGTGGGCGTGGGTCGTGGGTCGTGGGTCGTTCCTTTATTTGCCCGGTTGAGATATACGATGTATGTATCACCTCTTTCTCTCTTTTCTGGGGACGCACGGTAGTGGTTGGTGGGGGCGATGGGGGGGTATACTGCATATAATGCATACTATGCATACCTACCTAGTACTATGCAGTAGCAGATGTGCTTTTTCTCGGCGAGATACAACCATAAGACGTAAGCATGGTAGGGTCATGCATATAGCGTATGTAGCCTACCCTAAGCACCTAAGGTGTGGATGTTTTGTTGTTCGATCGCTCGTTCGTGAACATTACCTACCTTGGCGAAAAATGGCTGGGAATAGCTGAGATAGGCATCATGGTGTCATCACCTCAACCCACACTTCCAACTTATACACACCCATAACCCCCTGCGATTGGGAACGGCTCAAGAACCAAGATCCATCAGAGTACGGAGTTAGGGGTTCTCGAAGTGGTGTGCACTTGCAATAGTGCTCCGTAGAATGGTAGAATAGTAGTAGAATAGTACGTATTCTATCGTACCTCGGTCCTCAACTGGCTTTGCTGTCACCAATAGCTTGAGACTGCTCAGTAGTCGGCGGGGTTTCATCGGCATCTGTCGTATTTTAGGAGGATTATCATCACTTACTATGACAATGTAGGTATGTCTTATATAATTCCATGCCTACAAGGGGCGTAGAGCGAATGGCGCGAGGAAAGACAAGATAGTTCCAAGCCCGCTCTTTCATCTACCGTAGGTGGTGTGACGCATGCCATAGCATTTTTCGAGACATGTACCGTAATAGCTGACCGCGTCGTGCAACGTGGTTTTCGGCCCTGCAGTCAGCCTACCTGGCATATTATGTACATGAGTCCCGTTCTTACATGGATGACGAACGTGGACACAGGTAAGTAGAAGAAGGTAAGTAAGAAGGAAGTAAGTAGGTAGGTAACTAAGTAATAAGTAAGATCCGAGTGAGTTAGTGTAAGAAAACGGCGGAAACAGGAGTAAGAACAAGGCTATCCAACCGGCCGAAACAAGGTTCTAGACGTCCAACTTTTTTTGTATCTCCGAATGGGATTTACTTCCATTTTCGTCCACATGTCATGGGTTATTATGGTCCCCTGGATGAGGAGGCAGCGGGTGAGAAACCCTTTTCGGATCATTTCCCGCAACTTATTGATGTAGATATCGCAATGAGGAAGGGGAGGCCATAAACAAACTGACTATCTATGTACAAGAAGCCGGGAATTGAGAAGGATCATTCCTTTTCTCGTACAGAAGAACACAACCTCCCGGTCAACCATATCCCGGAGGAGGGTGAACACGGCCATGGTGGCGTTGCCCATCCGCGTGGCATTTTAACAACCGAACCATGATCTGATGGGCGGCAATCTAATCAAAAGACTCAGCTTGCCTGTCGCTCACATACCCAACCGTCGCACAGAGATGTTATGTTTCCCTCTTCAAGACACCCCTATTGGATCATGCGGCAATTGTAGCCTTTCAACCCCGACCAACATGCTTTTCTTGACTATCTTTTGCCTTCGTCTTTGTAAAAAGGACATGACCCCACTCATTATCAAGGCGCGCGAAGGATTTTAACAAATGTAGGCTCATGTATCTGGTGTCTCAGGTGAAGACTCATTCACTTTGTTGGCTCGTAAAAATATCAGTGACGAAGTGCTGGGTCAGGGGCTGCCTAGGGCAGTAGCCTTCTATTCGAATTTTCATCATTGCCCCCTCTTCATCCGCCTTACCCCTACTTTGCTATCCCATCCCCATCTGCATGCAATGTTAGGGTATAGTACAGGGTATTCTTGTAAATAATATGACATGAAACTAGCAACCGACCGTGAGGCGGCTGCCAAAAAGTGTGAAATGAAATGCAAGTAAACCAAACACATGAATAAACCTTCCAATGCAAAAACTAGGATATCTGAAACTCATCCCCGGACCTTCCCTCCCAATGTTTCAAAACGCTCAAAAAACACATGCAAGTTAAATCCAAAACGCCGGCCAAGATGCTTCCTAAATCCCAAGTCCATAAAGATGATCCCGACTTTCCAGTAGATTAAATATAAACAGTGAATTGCACCCGTAAGATTCGTAGAACTTATCGTGATGCTGGTGTCGAGAAGTCGTACGGCTCATTATCACGGAATTCCTACCGATTTCGGAGATTTTCCCGTGATATCTTCCACATCCGCGAGTCGGCTTAACTGAGAGAAAAGTACTCTTCAAGAAAAGAGTAACAGTGAAAGTTTCTCGTCCAAGGTTTGAAACATGCCGCGCCCTCAAGTCGTTCCGCTGAAAATCCCATACTCTTTCGTCTAACAGCCGACAAGTTTATCACTCATAAACCTCCGGGTTAGTTCATGAGCCCGTCCAAACATGGGTAGGTAGTCTTCGTTGTGATTCTTCCTTTATAATCTTGCGATCGGCGCATGCATTCGTTCCCTGCTCGTTTCCATACGTGACCTGGCAGTGATAATCATGGGTCGGGAAGTTTATTCAACTAAATACTCCACTGTTTTCTCGCGTTGAGCTTTTGAATTGACTTCGTCGTCCTACGTTCTCCTGGGCGAAGAGAGTTCGTTGTGATATATCCAGTCGTGAGTGTGGTGCATATATAATCGTTGTGGTAGGTTCAATAAATCGTCCAAGTCGAGTTCCAGCAGGGAGGCGTCGGAATAAACGTTTAACGTCCCTCTGCTAAGTCCAACAATGGCTAGATTATGACATTAAGCGCGTGTATAATTATCTGGTGAAGTTCGAGTTGCGATACTGATTAAAGAATAAGGCGCTATACACGGGTGTGAGGTCTCCTATAATAAATATGTAAGTATTGTTATATGAGTATTGCGGAACTTATGCTTAGGGGTCAAACATACGGGTCTAACTGCCACGGCCTGCAAATATCCCGGGGTAGGTCATGATGTTGCCAGGCCGGCATGCTACCGCCAGCTACCCGTTTAATCTCAGGAATAGGGATCATCGCCGGAAGACGAGTTGCTGGGGGTGGCGGGGGCTGTCTCGGATAATCATCGTATGAAAATCTCATCCTCTTCGCAGGTAGGCCTGGGAGTAGTTCAGGAGAGGGGTGGCCGTGAGTAATCTTGGTGGTCCGCGGAGATACTGGCGTGCTGGAGGCGCTCCTTGGTCGTCCAAAATCCAATGCGCTGGGATGTGGCCCAAGCTGTCTAGGTATCTCATGCTCAGCCGGCGAAGCTACCGGGGAAGTGTTGTGGCCGCCACGAGGGCTAAAGGAGGTATTAGTATATAGAAGACGTAGAACTTCCGACGTAGATATTAAGACTTACGCATTCTTAAACTTGCAGACTCTACCAAATTTTTCGCATTGGACACATCGAGGATAGTCAGGGTCGCACTTTATCTTCTTTTCCCGACAAGTGAGACATGCTATTGCAAGTCGCTTTCGGGGCTTGCCAGCCTTCGTAACACCCCAATGAGCATTAACAGGTTCTCCGTCAATGACAGTCTTGCAATGAGTCCCGTCATCGTAGAAATAGCACATTCCTTCCCCAGGTACCTCTGCCTGCTTCACGAAACGAGGTAGAAAGTGAGTTCCCGTCCAGATCTTGGGACCTAATCCGTCTTTTACTGGTGCTCCTTCTGGGGCAACAGCGTTCGCTAACGGTGGCGAGTGATTCGGTGGCTCCAAACGCATTTGGCTCTCCCTCTTGAATGGTGGGCTTGAGTCAAACCCTAGTCGCTGGCTTAGAGGGGGTAGCGGCATACGCTCAGAGACCGGCCTAAAAGGCGGAGTTGGCGGCCGAGATTCGAACACATACTCTGCCCGCCTTGATTCCGGGTTGTTCATGGGAGGCCATCTTCCAACAGGGGCAGGCTCTACCCGCGTTACATGATGTAAACGCTCAAATTCGTGCGTCGGGGATTTGAGGGGTCCAGGAAACTGGGCAGAGACCGAGGGGAGCATTGGTCTTTCAGGCTCCAACCTCGGCTCGTAAACACTGCGTGGTTGGCTTAAAGACGGGGAAACATTTGGGAAGTAAGATGAACTCCTCGAATCCGGTCTATCCATCGGGGAATGCGTGCTATGGAGAGGGCTTGGTCGATCCGGGAGAGGGGAAAGTGCTGGACGGACATGGTGAGGAGGTCCGAATAAGCTACTTAGAGGCGGAAGTTGCTGTCGTGATGCACTATTTAGAGTATCTCTTCGTATTTGGCCCTCTTCGGGGTCCTTCGTGGTTACCATATCTGGCCTCGTGCTCGGATCATAGCTAGACATAGGAGGAGAAATAGGTACGATAGTAGGCCAAGTTCGATCCTCGGAGGCCCTAGGAGTGTGAGTTGACGAAGAGCTTGGGCTCGCCAGGCCAGGAGGAGTATCAGGAATGGCTGATGGGTGGTGAAGTTCTAATCTGACTTGTATCCCCATTGAGATCGAATGCGATATTGGACAATTCCTTATAACATAACAAGCCGGGGTCGAATAGTTGTTTGGAGAGCTTCTGGTTGGATTTGTATAAACCAGAAAAAACAGGCGTAGGGAGGAAATATACACTAAGTTAGTTGTTGTGTTTCTGGTATCTGCCGGATAAAGGTCGTTTGGCGGCGCAGCTGGCAAGCACACACACACACCCTCCAACCTGTAAGTCCTCGAGCCGAATCGCTGAGAGTGGCCAGAATCCCGGGTAATTGGCCACTGGTATTCTGTATGCTGGCGTCCAATCCAGACCGTTTTCTAATCAGTTTATTTAAGTCACTGAGAAATGTTGAAAATAGTCTACGTGTTGACAGCTTAGTCCAAGACAGCGAACAATGCCAGATGTATAAGCTGACGGAGGCGAAAGTGATAGAAACGATCTCGACTCGTGTGACTGTCAAATTTTTAGAAAGTTATACGATGGGTGAGTTCTCGCGATTTGAGAAGCGTCTTCGAAACAAGTGGCCCAGTGTCGCCGAGTTGAATGTACAAATACAGTAAGTAATATGTAGGTGTCGGGCGTGTCGATGAGGAAATATGATTCGAGGAGAAGAAGAGGCACCAAAGAGAAGGAAATCGAGAGGATGAGGTAGTGTATGTATGTATCTAGTGCTAGTGACTTGACCTGTCACGTACTATAAAATAAAGGTGGGCTTGGTGGGCTTCCTGTTACTTGCTTGAATTCCCGGGGTCACCTCGTCCAAAGAAGATTGATGTAAGGAATGAATAATAGGTAAGGCAACTTAAGGGACTAGATCTTCATACATGTACGCACTAAGCATGTAGCCATAACTGCCATGGCAAGTACGAACGAACCGGTAACTGTCATTACCCCGGTCGTAATTCAATTGAATTGAATTCAAGATGTGTGTGCTCTTTCCCACTTTCTAATGGGTATCGGCTCCAACGGCATGGGTATAATGTTGGCTCTTGCCTGCGGGAGAGCACGTACCTACCAAGTCAGCTAAACGGCCGAGTATACCTGTCTAAGTCTAGGTAAATCGAACATATAAAAGTACATACATACATCTTTAAGACGGCGGCTCGAGTAGGGTACTACGGTACATACTACGTAGTATGTACTCGGTAAGGGAAAGCGAACCTTGAAGTCAGGGTCACTGGTCCAGGGTAAGGATCAGATTCAGGGTCAGGGTCATTGGTCAGGGACTTCCAGAGTTGTTACGGCGTTGCGCTGATAGCATGCCTACTAGGTACGAGGCATGTAGAGAAGCTGAGATCATAGATCATAGGGCGAGACAACCCCCGGAGATTCTATGCAAGCATGGCGATGAATTCGGAAATGCAATACGCGAGATGGTCGGGAGGTCTAGCTAGAAACTTGCTAGTCCCGTGGTCTAGGTAAGTTAAGTTGGTAATGGCCCTGCGTAGTATGTAATGCTTAGGGGGTTTGTGGATTGCGGATTGTGGATTGTGGGAAGAGACATGATGTCGATTCCATGTGGGTCGGTACATATTAGTCGACGGAGCTGATCGACGAAAGTAGACAAGGTATCTAGGCAGGTATCCCCGTAGTGCAACCCGTGTAAGCGGTACCTACCGTATTGTATCGCTAACAGTAGTCGAGAGTAGGTACGTACCATGGCCCGTGGACAACTCGATTTACCGAAGTGCGCGTTTGTCAACCTATCATCACAGTTGCATGCTTGTGAAACGTGCTGTATGTATATGGGGTAATTGACAAGCATAAGCGAAGGGGTGCTGTAGCACTGAATAAGAATCCCAAGTAAGCCGTCTGTCACATATCCATGGATCGGGTTGTTACCTATCTTATGTATTTTATGATTTTATGTAACAATCTACATAGGAGACACGATCAAAGGGGGGCATATTCAACGGGGAGACACAAGCGAGAGGCCGCCGCGTGTTACGAAGTCAGAAATCTTGCCGATATAATCATCAAGGAAGAGCCTGACATTTAATCAAGAAATCGGTCATTAACTATCGACTATTGACTTTTAGCAACTTTCTATACCTGTATATCTATTAAGCGCATGATGTATGTACGGCGATACTGAGTAAATGGTAAATGAGAGCTAGGATGGCGTATAGTAAGTCGCTGGTATCACTGACCAAAAGGACAGGAGAGCAGGTTCCAGACCGCGTATACGCATACCGGGCAATTTTAAGAGTTGCGCAGCTTCTTAAGATAGCATCTTGTTTATGACGGCTAATTGGTAACAAAGCAGCTCATGCACCGGCACGTACCTGTCTAGTGTGATACCAATACTCTGGGTGCACTAGGAGCACTAGCAGGTATTAAACTTGTTTAGTCTCCTGAATTTCCGTATTGCTTGCCCGGTGCTTGCCTGGTATATCGGCTTCATCTACCGTGAACGGAATGAATACCACTATGCACTATGGCATAGGCACTCGCGACTGCATGGACCTTTTGCAGCCGTGGCGCTTGTAGCCGCGCACTAAAGCTCAAAAGAGCCTAATGTGTAGGTTATTAACGATTGGAAGTCTCGACTCTTGTTATTAAAACTCGCTATCCCAAGAAATCTGACTTCCAAGAAACTACTGTTTAGCTTGAGTTTATCTAGAGAAGTCTGGGCTGCTTAGTGAGAAAAGTTGGAAGGCTCATACGATCAGCAGCCGAAGAAATCTTGGAAAGCTCGACTGCTAGGCCATTCCTGGGAAAACTCACGGGCGATATTATACGTCTCCTAAGACGATTCCCCACCAGTTTCCACACCATCGACCCTTCCGCGGCCTTTTGCTTGGGGGAGGGAGGAGAAAGTGGAGGAATGAACCCGACAAATATTTTAGTGTTAAAAATAATTCTTATCGGCCGAGAGGGGAGGAGCCGCTCATGTACTCTGCGTACTTTTCCATAGCCCTTGTATCGGTTTCCAGGCTACTTTACTCCTGGTATTTTACTCCTGGAACTACTAGGACCCAACCCTCTGGGCAAATACATACATAGTACCGTCTGTACCGCTCATGTACATATCTACATACCTATCCCACAAATTCACAAATTCCCACTTCGTCTTCTGATCCCCGAACCCGCATCTTCGCTAACTTTGTCCTGGTAGGGAATGGGCTGATGGAGCTAGAAAGGGAAGAGGAAACTGGGGCTTTTTGCTTCCAGCCCCGCCACACACATACCTACCCACCTATGTAATCATCGCCAATGAAGACTGGATGGCGTTTTTCTCTTTCTTTGGCCTTCGCCTTTAACACTTACCTACTAACCTAACTAACTACACTATCGCGTAGCTTCGCATCACTACCGCCTGGGGCTGACAACGGCATTGCAACTCAGACTGGCCTTACTGGCCATACTAGCTCTCCAATGATCTAGGCAGAGGGATTCCTTCATTTATTAGTTCGGCGGTATTCGTAGATCGTCGAACATGCCGGCAGCGAATCCGGCCGAAAAGACCGGATCCAGCAGCCAGGGAGGAAATCAAGAGCCGATAACTTGTGGAGAGACAATACCCCTCCAATAACAGTAGGATGGAATAGGCTTGGCTAAGCTATCTTGGAACGATAGGCTGCCCGACTGCGACCGGCAATTGTTTTCTATCACCGGCAGCTAATTCGCAAACTAAAATTATCATGCAAGGGTATTTACCTACATGCCTTTCATCAACACATCGCGACTCGAGAGCGTTGCTTATGGCAATTGAGCACATGTTGTGACGCCTATGACACGACGGATTAGTTGTACTACTTCGCACAACGCATTGGGAGCCTCATGAATTCGGGCTCATTCGCAGTCCGGGAGTTAACATACATAGGTACCTACACAAACGTGCCTAGATGTTGCTTAACCCATAAGCCTATGACAGATCTATAATAAGAGAAAGCCTACGGAAGAGTCGACGGATCATTTCGTGGCTTGTTCGCCACCAACCACTGTCTCGGCAGAGCATGGATGGATGGGGCACGAGCTGAGCTGGCCGGTAGGTACCCAAATTCCGTGCGATTTCGAGACTGAAAGGCGCCTCCCACGACATATTTGTTGCTCCTAATGTTTAGGTTATGCCGTGCTCCCTAGATAGCCGCCAGGCTACGGGTCAGCGATCATCTTGTCTTGATCCAGCTGACCGGGTTAAAACGATCAACATTTAGATACGGTTCATTCCTGGCCACTGGCTGCAATATCCATGTGACAAGCCCGACTGTCGGAGGAAATTTTTGCTTTGTGATCTATCGCAACACCAATACTAGCCTGACAACCCTCGGTCAGACCAAGAGGGCGGAAAGCGAACGAGAGACCTCGAAGGATTTCTTCTACGATTGCCGTAGAATGGGTACTTGCAGGATATTATCCTTCCCCAACGTGTAGTCAAATCTAAGTTGGTATGGTGATTAAAAGGTCAGGCAAGCCACGAGGCCATCTAGCGTCGACTTTCAACCGGTCAACTTCAGTCGCGGAGGTCCAAGCTCTTCAAGGAACAGAAGGCCATCTTGATCTACTTAGACCTTGTCTCAACGATCAAGCCACGTCTCATCATCCCGCGTGTAGCTCCTTTTCCTGCGTCATCCCATGTGGTACAAGGCACGTACAGATTAGCGAAATGATATTCGTGGCTCAGCAAATCCACAATGCCGAATTGCTAACCCCTGGTCGGAACTTGTTGCGCGCACACAAGCACACTATGATCGACAACCCCCGGACGTAAGGGCCACCGCTTCCTGCCCGTGTGAACAAGGTTCTCCTGCGGGACCGTCAAGGAAGATTACCTGCCCCTTGAACCAGCCCGTACCAGCATTTTATGATCGTTCATATCTCTAGTCTCACGTAAAGCACGGTGGAAGATGTGCGTAGACCCATACATGTCTCATGCACTCCCGTTAAGATGTCGGGTCTACGTACCGCAGCAGTTGCGGCTCAAACCTTGACCTTCCGAAGCAAACATGGATCCCGTGATTACTACATAGTATTCTATATCCGATGGAAATAGTGCCGAGAGCAACCTTTTGTTTTACTCGCCCCTTCACGAACCAACATCCCTCCGGAAGAAGGTTTCGGAAGGTTTTCTAGAGCTACTGAGCAAGATGATTGCGAACACAAAACCGGTAAACGATGTTCGAACGACCTTCCTCATACCTATCGCC